GGACATGAGCAAAGAATTAGTGGTATATTTCTCAGGTTGCATTTAATGGTGTGAAGTGATTTAATTTAGAACCAGCTCCAGTGAGAAAAACTATTTACTCTTACTCTAGCTGTTGGTGGAAAAGGCTTCAGAGAACATTCAGGGTGCTGACTGACATTCAGTTCCCCAGTCTAACTCATGGTGCTTTACAGCAAGTACCATGAATTAGACCAGCCCTCCTGATCCAACAGATGTGTGCTGTTGAATTGGGAGGGTTGTATGATTGAGCTCCCCTTTGGAGCTGATCCAGGGAGAGAGGCTGTCTGCGGTGTCTGCCCCCCTCTCTAAGCTCCCATGCTCTCAGGATGTGAGGGTGGGGTGGCAGGGGAGGGAGGTCTGTTCTGTGGTTTCTCCAGCCATGCTGGAGTGGTGGGGTGATGGGGTGGATCGGAGTCCAGTTGGTGTGGGGAGGCTCCAATCCACCTGCCCCACCCTCCAGCGCTGGCTGGGGAACCCCCTAGACCAAACTTGCTCATGTCCCTCTCCCATTCTGAAGACAGTGTGCAGAGCAGAGCTCAGCTGTGTCAGCCAAGCCCTACTCGCAGCCACGCTGACAGATGTTAATGAAGGCACTTCACTTTGGAGCTCCTTCTTCTGAACCCTCATATAATGAGGGCTCAGATTATTGCCCGATCGGGCATTTTTAAAGTGCTCTGCAGCTATGCATTTCTGCCAGTGCATGGCTGTAAAGCGCTTTCAATGGCTGGTCACACGACAAACTGTTATGTCTGTCAGTGCCACTGTCACATCTGTCAGCTCCCTCAGAGAATGTAGCAGTGGTGTCCCATTCCATATTAAGTCATAGGGTCTTATCGCATCATCAGGTTTTTGATGCTATTAAATAAAGTGCAACTTCTGCTCTTTATGTCATGATTAGTACGAGTTTGGGGAATTCAGGTTTAATCCAGAATTCCTTTTAAACGCAGAAAATAAGTCTCAGGTTGATTTTAAAATAACTTCTGTTTATCAGCTTTTGGCATATAATGGGAATATTTCCTCCACATATTTCCCTTTCCCTCCCTAGATTTCACAATGCCATTTGAGGGTGGGGGAATCGAGAAATCTTCTGATCAAGAAATCTTGATTTAAACTTCAGTTTAAATCAAGAAATCTGTCTCCTGTTTTAAAGGAGTCTAGATAATAGGCTTAAGGACTAAGATGTTGGTTTCATAGCCTACATGCATGGTTTTTGTCTCTCTCATCTGAACTCAGGGCTGCTTGAGTTTAGAACAAGTTGTAGGATTCTATCCCCATGTTGTAGAACTTCGCTCCCTCTAAGCCAGTGGCTTTTAACCTGTGGTTCGCGGTCCCCTGGGGGCCCATAGACTATGTTTAAGGGGTCCGTGAAAGATGACTATCATCAATCAAAAGTATGTGAATACCCACACTTATAATTCAAAGGGATCTGCACCTCCCTTTCAATTTTTTACAAGTCTACAAATGAAAAAAGGTTGAAAGCCACTGCTCTATGCTATAGTTGTTGTTGTTGTTTAAATAGATTTAAAATTTATGGCTTAAGGGAGGGGGGCCAAGGGGGCGGTGTCAACCTTTACAAGCACAAAGCATGTGTAAGCAGCATCTGCTTGGGTCTGCAAACAGCCTGAAATAGTTGTGTAAATGTAAAATTCTTCCACTAATTTCAGTAGAAACAAACCAATAATGTGGTTTTTTTTAACTGTTAGGATTGCTAACAATTTCATTTCTGATTTTATATTTTCAGAAACGTATAGTTATTAAATTTATCCCTCAGTTCTGAGCTGGCTCTCATTCTGTTTCAGCTGCCCAAAGTCTTGTTTACTCCCAGATGTTAGAATACCTGGATTTGTCCTTGATTGTTTCTGTGATGAAGTTCTGCTGCCTTTACAGAAATCTCTGGCGCACTGAAAACTGAGTATGTGGGTTCAGCAAAAAAAAACCCTGAACTTATTATCAAACTAAGTATCAGGGGCTGCTTTATGGTTCATTTGCAGTCTATTGTGCTGGAATGCCACAAAATTCAAGGGCCTTGCTGCAGAATTTAATCTGAGCTTGCAGGCTGTGCTTGAAGCCTAGCATGAAAGGCATCTGTTGTGCACCAACAGCTAAAATATCTCAGAGTTTCATGGCAGTTGTGAGGCAGTATGAAATCCTACCCCCATGTACCAGCCTGTGATGCGTCCCATACAATGCGAGCATTTTCCTTTTCTAGACTTTCAGATTACAAAAATAAAATAATGTGGCCATATATTTTACTTTGTTTTAGACCAGCTACCGCCAGTCCCAACCTTCTCCTTCTCCTGTTCATTGAGGTTTTCTGCAAGGCCCAAATGAAGAGAGTGTAATTAAAAATGAGCAAACTACAGAATTATCCCCACCTCTGAATTTTGGTCGTTTTCTCCTATCTTCTGTGCAGCTGTCATTTATACTCCAAGCTCTTCGGTGCAGGACTTACCATGTGTGCTTATACCAAATCAACATGCTGTCTGTGCAAAACAGCTTATAATAAAGTTGCTAATGACCTGTATATTAGCAAATGTTCTGTGAAGTGCCAGCTGCTGGATGGGCCACTGGGCTCAGCCATCCTCCAAAAGCACTTACTCAGATTTTACTTTTGATGCAAATCAGCAGTGCTAGAGCCAAACTGAAGTGCTTACCTGTGTTTCAGTTTCTGATTTTATTGACAACACCCTGCTCTTGTAACTTAGAGATCAGGGCTGTCTAAAGGATAATGTTCATGATAGAAATGTACAAAGCTGTAAGTACTTTTGAAGAAGCACCAAAACACATTAGAAACATTTGGTCATAGCAAAAAAAATTACTACAAATATTTTCTATCACTGAGTCTTAGACTTAGTAAACAAAATAAAGAGACATAAACGAGAATGAGACTAATTATTCCCTATCTTTATGAGATTACGTCTGCTTTGAGCAATGTCTCAATGACTATGCTAAATGGCTGAGCAAGGACAGAGTTAAAATACTAATATTGAATTGCTGAACTGCTTGGAAAAGGAGGAGGGAAAGGGAGGAGGAGGAAACAGGTGCTTTTTCAAAACGAGCATGAAAACAAAACTACTTGTGTGCTAGTATCACATCTGGCAGAGCAGCACTGTGCTATTTAAGAGGAGGCAATAGATGATGTTTCTTCTAGCTAGTTGGTGTCACAACCCAAGGGTGTGATTTTGTTTGTGTGTGCTTCGGCACTGCTAAATTATTTCCTGCCACTCGGAGCTTTCTTTGCAGGGTGCATTTCTTAGTTGCAAAGAGAAATGCACGGTGCAAAGGAGTTCCCGCCATTCGTACGCAAATTTGTGTCCCGCTATTGGCCAGTTCTAAATTATTCCCACGTGGCGGCTAGTGATTGGCTTGCTAGCCGTATAAGAGGCTTGAGCAGTTTCCGCCCAAGTTGGAGAACTCCGAGGAGAACCCCGCAAGGGAGGACTCCATAACCATCTGGAGGAGGAGAACTTCACGTCTTGTGAAGATCTCTAAGCGCTGTGGAGCCTATCGAACCCAGCGCAGGCTATAGGGGTCTGATCAACCTCTGGCCTCTCCCCGTCGCCGAACGATCCCTCAACGAACCCCTTCCCTGTGCGCAAGTTCCACGAAGCCTAGCAAACTTCGTGTGAGTGTATCCAGAGCTCTACCCGGGTTCGAGTCCTGCAGGTTTATCTTCCCGTCGCCAAAAACCCATTGCGATGTACTCTCGTGTTTTGCATCTTCCCGTCGCCGAAAACTCCCTGCGACGTACTCTCGTGCCCTGCAGGTTCGAGTTTTGTTTTGTTTTGTTTTGTAACTGCAACTCAAGCAAGTTTTCCTGCCTGCACCGTGGCCATCTTCGGTGTAAGTAAAATAATCTTTAATCAACCGCTAAGCGTCCGTGCCTAATTCTAGCCTGCTGGCCTGCATTCCCTGGCCCGGTGTGTCCGGGCTGCTGGCCACAGCCCGCCGCGCACAGGCCCCTGAGGGCCTCGGACCGCTCCCAGCCCGCACAGTTGGTAGCTAAATTTCTCAGTGACATAAGTACTGCAGTGCAGCTTCACCTCAAGTGTCAAAGTAAATTTTAGAAAATGTCCGTACAGTGTTTTTTTTGTTTTGTTTTTTTTAATCCCAAACGAGAAGTATAATTTCTTGAGCTAGGCAAACTCACTTTGCCTGATTTTGGGCCTGCTTAGATTCATGGGTCTGATAGTTTTTGATTCACACTTCACTGTTACAGGATTATGTTCTGCTGGAAGAAATTGCAAAAACAATGTGACCAGAAAGAACGGAAGATTGGCCAGATGTAAATCTGGAATTACTCTATCAAAGCCAATGACTTACTCTGGATTTACAACTGCATGATTAACAGCAGACTGAGAACATATTTTGCCCCACAGTATGGCTCATATACAAGGTTCACTTGTGCGCCAGTTTCATTTTGTGATTGTTCTGTCTCTTTACATGACCTGGACTCTTTTCTGACCTGATGCTTACAGAAGCCAAAGGTTGAGATTATTTTTTGGGAACCTCAAAATAACTTTGAGAGTGTTACAAACCCTTCCATCTACAGGTTTCTCACCTTCCTATTAGCATCATGCATGAAGGACAAGCATCATTTTCAGGATAAGGGGCTATTCTGGCAGATCTAGTGGGGAGAACTACAGATTGCCCAGGGTCCTTGTGTGAGTCAGTGGAAAGGGCACAGTGTGGCCTTGAAGAACCTTCCACCTTTCCCTGTGAACCCCACATAAGGCCCAAGGATAGCTGTAATCCCTGGGCTTCAGGAAGTGCAGGGATAGATTCCTCACGGTGTCCTAAAGGAAAAGGTTTAGTAGAGACAGGACCATGACTCTTACCTTCTTCTGAACCAGAACGGGACATGGACCAGGTTCACCACAAAATGGGAGAGGGGTGCCTCTGCCAACAAGGCACTTGGGAGCCAGGCACCTAGCTAGTCTCAGGTTGTGACTGAATCTTTTGTTCTTTTAAACCCTTCTCAGAGTATGGTGGCAAGTGGAAAATGCTCCATTACTTTGCCCAGCATTTCTTTTCCCCATTGTTGCCTGTTGCCTATGAAGATGGTGGTGTACTGCACATTTATGGTGTATCAGATCTTCACTCAGACTGTGAGCTAACACTCAAAGTAAGTGCCAGCTTTCCCCTTTCAAAAGGGATCATCTATGGCTAGGAAAAAAGGATAGAAAAACAAGTGCTTGTAAATGTAATGGTGCTCCAGCAAGTCCATGCCCAGCTGTATTAGCCATCCCTGACCAGTGCTCCAGGTTCTACAAAAGCCAAACATTCAGAATATCAGTGTGGGCCAGACACGGTGCTAGTGTAAGCAGGAATATGCTTTTGTATTTTAAATGGTGAGCTTTTTGTGGCAGGCACTGTATTTACTATGTATCTGTACAGTGTTTAATACAATGGGACCCCAACTGGTCAAGGAATACAGGTGCAAGTGTACATGTTAAATAACAGGAAT